AGGCAGGAGGCTGGCCTAGGATCTTTCCTAAATGAGGGTTATCAGAAAGCCAGCCTCCAACCAACACTCAAGTCAGGTTATACAAAACTTATTTTTACAAGCATCAACTTAATTGAAAATTAAAGGAAATTTTGTCCCTCCAAATGGTCAAAATGGGCTCTTTTATTGCTTATGCAGTTAAAAAAAAGCCAGCTTGATGAAAAGTCTTTTCACAATCCTGATCCTAAGAGACAAGTCCTTCTAGGAGAAACTTGCATTTCTCTTTTTGTGTCTTGAGATGTGTATATTCTACCAGGGCTCTTAGGAACTCATCTCTTATCCTAGACCATTGCCAACTCCTGAGACTGAGAAAAAAAAAGAAGGGAAAGGCCTTTTAAAATTCAGGTGAGTAAACTTAATGTATTCCAATTGTCATTTATAAACTAGTGAGTTTTATACTGTAATACTTGGTTCATGGCTAAGTTTTAAAATCAAATTGTGAGATCTCTGTGTCTACATGGATGTATATATGTCTGTGTGTATGTTAGAGATAGAATATGTCTCTACCTCCAGACGGTATAACCAAAATTGGAAATGAGTACTAGTTAGTTGATTTAACAAAAATTAAGGGCTTACATAAATTCTGAGAAATATAAAAGCAACTAACCCAAATGACTTTCAGGTTTTTTTGAACTGGGAAATATTCAGTATTAAATTAATATTTGTTATTAAAGTTAGTTTAAGTTTACTGGTTTAATATAGACATATTGTTAGAGCTATCAACATTAAATATAATAGGATGATTGTACCTAAGTTTACTAGAAGTCAAATAAGACCTTATTATATCTGGTGCAAAATTTATAAGGAAGAAAAATCACTTGGCATGATAAAATTGTTTATAAGTAAATTAAATGTAAATAAGACAAGAATATTTAGGTAAACTCTTTAGGAATAATTATGTTTTAGGCATATCTACTTAAAAATAGCTTCTCTAGATTTTGGAAACTTAAAATTTTAGAGTTTTACTAAATTAAGTTAAATGATTAAAGTTTATTGACTAGGTCATTCTCAAATAAAATAAGATACTGAAACATTAATTACTGAACATTGGGTTTCTTTTACAGAGAAACTAAAGATATTTAGGACTATTAATAAATATGTCTGGTGTAACACTGGGACATTTTCTATAAGAAAGCACATGTTTGTAAACATTATGAATAATATTTAAAATCTTGCCCATGTATAGAATGATAATGTAAAAGTTCCTAAGTGCTTACTTCTTAGTTTTCACTAGAAATTGATTAAGAGTTGAGAATTCTAATTAAAATATGTATTAAAGCTACTAGAAATAATAAGGGAAACATTTCAGTATGCAAGAAAAGTAGAAGTTGTATTTTTAGTAAAAGAGATGAGGAATGAAAATGTGTTTTGTTAAGGGAAAAGAAGGGGCTTCCCAGTTGGCTCAGTGGTAAAGAATCCGCCTGCCAACGCAGGAGACGTGGGTTCGATCCCTGGGTCGGAAAGACCCGCTGGAGAAGGAAATGGCAACCCACTCCAGTGTTCTTGCCTGGAAAACCCCAAGGACAGAGGAGTCTGGCGGGCTACAGTGCATGGGGCCACAAAGAGCCAGACAGGACTTAAGGTCTACAAGAAAAACAATCCTTGTAAGCAGAATTGAAACATTTGTCTTTTCCTCTCTACCTGATCCATTCAGAAATTGGAAACTTTTAGGTTCCCAGCAGCCTTATCAGGTGAATAATGAAGGACACCTCCTGACAAGTGCAGGAATTTCAAGATATCTTAGAGATTTCAAGAAGAGAGGAGTTCATACCAATGTGTAGATATCACAGCTGGAATTGAGTTATTAGCCACTGCAGCTCCTGACCTTTAACACACCCTGAAAAGAGGTCAGGACACAGATTAAGAGTAAGACTCTGGGAACACTCATAGAACAAGGCTTCAGATAGTCAAATATTTTGAGAGGAAATTTTTTTATAAACCTGGCTTCTTGCATCTTCCCACACTTAGAAAAGCACTAAAGCCATTAATGAAGGTTCCACACGACTAGCAGCAGCCTTCTACTGAGATGTGTGCTTGCCTGCATGTACCCCCTTTGCCAAAATCACATACACACTGATCTCCCCCCCGTACCTGAGAAGTTCCTCAGGCTATCTAAGAGGCTGTCTCTTGGGCTATATTGTTGTTCAGTCACTAACTCATGTCTCTTTGTGACCCCATGAATTGCAGCACACCAGGCTCCTCTGTCTTCCATTATCTCCTAGAGTTTGCTTAAATTCATATCCATTGAGTCAGCGATGCTATCTAACTACCTCATTCTCTGCTGCCCGCTTCTCCTTTTGCCTTTAACCTTTCCTAGCACCAGGGTCTTTTCCAGTGAGTCAGCTCTTTTCATTGGGTTACCAAAGTACTGGAGCTTCAGCTTCAACATAAGCCCTTCCAAGGAGTATTCAGGGTTGATTTCCTTTAGGATTGACTGTTTTGACCTCGCTGCAGTCCGAGGGACTCTCAAGAGTCTTCTCCACTGTTTGAAGGCATCATTTCTTCAGCACTCAGTCTTCTTTATGGTTCAACTTCCACACTGCACACACTGGGCTATTGTTGTTGTTCTGTCACTAAGTTGTGTCTGACATTTCATCACCCCATGAACTGCAGCACACCAGGCTTCCCTGTCCTTCACTATCCTACAGAGTTTACTCAAACTCATGTCCATTGGGTCGATGCATTCCAACCATCTCATCCTCTGTCACCCATTTCTCTTGCCCTCAAACTTCCCTGGATCAGGGTCTTTTACAATGAGTCAGCCACATCAAAGCATTGAAAAGTATTGAAGTGACCAAAGTATTGAAGTTTCAGTTTCAGCATCAGTCCTTGCAATGAATATTCAGGGTTGATTTCCATTAGGATTGACTGGTTAGATCTCCTTGCTGTCCAACGGGCTCTTGAGAATCTACTCCAGGACCACATTTGAAAACATCAATTCTTCGGCGCTCTTCAGTCCTTAGTAAATCTCCAAATAAAACTGGAAACTCAGAACTTCCATACTGTACATTTTTATTTCAGTAGACAGAATCCAAAACAAAGGCATGATTTAAGAATAAAGGTGGTCAGTGTAGTCAGATACTCCAAAAGGTGAAGTGAGATAAAGATTGGAAAGTGTTCATCGTATCTGATGACTAAATGCTGAACATAGTAAGAGCAATTTCAGTGACATGTGGGGGTAAAGTCTGATCACAGCGAGTCTAAGAGCAAAGAGGAATTGAGGAAATGCAGCTAATAATTTAAGGCTGTTTTGTTTTGTTGTGAAAATGTAGAGGTGACTGTAGGGGTGGAGGTATGGAGGACTTGAAAACAGTGTAAAATATTTGGGCTTTTGACCATCAGCGGGTGGCACCAGGTGGAGAGGAAAAAGACAAGAGTCAGCTGGTAGCTTCAGCATAGAGATCCTTGAGGAATGAAGAGATCAGAACAAGGGTCAAGTAAAAAGAAGAGATTTCTTCAGAGTTTGGAGAAAGGAGGTAAGTGGAGTTATAGACAAGGGGTTGGGAATTGAGGGAGTACAGAAGTCACACTGAATGGCCTTAGTTTCCTCTGTAGAATGAGACAGGGTTTTCTGCAGAGACCAAGGAGGGCAGAGGTGGAGAAATCACTTAGGTAGAGTGCTGAATGTTTGGGAGAGAAGGGTACCCAGGAAAAAGTAACAAGGATTATTGAGAGTTGTTGAGGGCTCAGCTGAGGATATGTGACTATAAATCTAATATGGTACTAATCTCAAAACTTTTCCTTCCAATTCTGCCTTGCAGGTTATATGCTGCTGCTGCTGCTAAGTCACGTCAGTCGTGTCCAACTCTGTGTGACCCCATAGATGGCAGCCCACCAGGCTCCTCTGTCCCTGGGATTCTCCAGGCAAGAACACTGGAGTGGGTTGCCATTTCCTTCTCCAATGCATGGAAGTGAAAAGTGAAAGTGAAGTCGCTCAGTCGTGTCTGACTCTTCGGACCCCATGGACTGTAGCCTACCAGGCTCCTCTGTCCATGGGGTTTTCCAGGCAAGAGGACTGGAGTGGGCTGCCACTGCCTTCTCCAATGGAACAGAGAAAAAAGATAGAGATTGTCTTCCACTTAAATTCTTATCCTCTGTGTACAGACATGAAAGCATGTGGCCCGGCCACAAATATGTGAGCACCTACCACACGTTTATGACTGTCACCAGAAGGCCATCATGTTTGTATCCTAAGATGTAGTGTTCTGTAGAATCAGCATCCTAAGGCTTTTATAGAAATTGAGTCACTTATTTTATTTTTTAAAGAGTGAAAAGAAGCTAGGAGATGATGGAGTGGGTTATCAACTGAAGAACATGCACAACCTAAAAGTTTCGAGTTAAGTTTCACTTGAGAGAGAGCCTCTCAGATGGCTCTGAGAAAGCTCAGAAGAGGTAAGGGAGGAGCCAGGATATATGAGTGTTTCTGTTGGATAAAAACATGTACTGGAATATCAAAAGATTACTGCTAATCACAAAGAACAGACATTTCAAGTTAATGACTGCAGAATTTTCCTATGTAAGGGAAGATGAAAGAGTCTGGGTTCACTGAAATTATTCCTTAAGATATGCATCTTAGCTGTCTAGGGACACTCTCCAAAGCACAGAATGCTTCCTTGTTTTCGGCATCCTGAATTCCCCTCAGGGCACGGGGTAGCGGTAGGGTCAGCAGCCGAGGCTGATGGCTTGGTCTTCGTAGAACTGGAAAGGCAAGCAACATTCCCTATCCTGAGGTCCAACTTCTCTTCTCGCAGATCCCTCCAGAGGGCTGGTGGCCGCTCCGCCTGCAGGTGCAGCTCCTCCCAGTGGAGGAGGGGGCCCTGACCAGACGGGGCCCGGCCCGAGGGCCTCTGCTATTGGCCCGGCCCAGGCTGCACCTGCCTCGAGCGGGCGGGCCGCTGGGCACAAAGTCCGGGGGGCCAGCCGAGGAGGCAGCAGCCCGCTGGCAGCGCAGGTGGGGCCAGGCAAGATGCCCCTGGGGCTGCGGAGAAAAAAGAAATTCAACACCAAGGAGACCTCCCGATTGGTGGAGGGCGAGCACACGGATGCGGCTGTCCGCAGTCTGCCCAGCCCTCCGGCGCCCACCCGCAGGCTGGCTTTCCACACGCAGCTGGCCCACGGGAGCGCCACGGGCAGAGTGGAGAATTTCTCCAGCATCCAGGAGCTCTACGCCAAGATCGCGGGCGTGTTTGAGATCCCTCCGTCGGAGGTAAGCGCCGGGCCCTGGAGCTCAGCCTCTCCCACTCCTGCTGCGCAGGTTTAAATTGGCTCTGGCTGCGCTTCCGCGATTCCGAGGTCGGAAGAAGGGTGGGGGGTCCCTCGTGAGCGCCCCAGGGGGAGCGAGAGAGTTTTACTGGGAAGGGAAGACGGCAGTCCCAGGACCGGGGAGAGTCACGTTCTCCAAGCTCGATCTGGCTTCTGGGAAACCCGGGGCGACCTTACTTCCTTATGCAAATGAATAGGCTCTAGTAGCCCCGGATTCAGCAGCTTCAGCGGCTTTCCAGCGTCGAGATCTGGTTGGTAAATTAACACCCTTCACTTTATCTGGACCTTGCCCTCCTGCTTCCTCTGCCGGGGTGAGATGACCATGCTGAGCATCTCCTGGATTGAGGGGCTAGGTGATGCTAAACTAGGTGATGCCTTCCAGGTGATGCCAAACTGAGCCCCACTTTGTCCCTCATATGTCATGTCCAGGACCAACACTTTGGTGTTTCCAAGAAGATTTTTATTCCAAGAGTGGATAACTAAGAAAGTTATACTGAACTGCATGGGACTAGTTGATAGAAATTTCAGAGGGGCGAGCTCTATATTTGACACGGTATCCTTGAAATGGGACTGAAATTTGCCTTAATTAGATTGATGGTATGTTTGCCAGGAACTGGAGTTTGTTATAGTTAGTTTCAGGAGACATTTATGTAACTTTTTATACTTAACAAGCTAACTGCAAATGCAGGTGTGAGAAGCTAGTCCAAGAAAATATTTTGTCCACATTTCAAGGAGAAGCACAAGGTCTTGAGGCCCTGAAGGCCTCCCTGGTTGCTTAGAGGGTAAAGAATCTGCCTGCAATGCAGGAGACCTGGGTTCATCCCTGGGTGGCAAAGAGCCCCTGGAGAAGGGAATGGCTACTCACTCCAGTATTCTTGCCTGGAGAATTCCATGGACAGAAGAGCCTGATGGGCTACAGTCCATGGGGTAGCAAAGAGTCAGACACGAACTGAGCGACTAACACTTTGTGGCCCTGAACTCTTGGGAGTACACAGAACTATCTTTGGCTGTCTGTCCTTTAATATTGTTTATCAGATTGGCTCAAGTGAAATCGAGGTAAAGACAAAATTCCAAGATGAGATGAAAGAGAGATTGAAGCTAACCTTTCAGGGTTCCCAGGCCCGCTGAAGGGCAGGCAAATCACAAACCCATTCTCTGATGTTTCAGTTCAAAAAGTTAAAAGTACTCTTGCAGGAGTAATGTTCTTTGATTTTCTCTAGAAGAGGTAGGTCATTTGGGTAGTTAAGTACAGGATTTGGAGACTGATAAACCAGGCTGTGGATCCAGGTTCTACCAGTTACTAGCTGGATGGCTTTGAACAAATTTAATTTCTCTCAGTTTCAGCCATTTGTAAAATAGAGGTAAGAGCCTCTACCTTGAAGTGTTGTTGTGAAGACTGGAGCGCCTAGATAAACACCAGATTGTGTTGGCATATGGTCAGTGCTTTATATATAGTAACAATTAATAATATCATTAATACTTAACAATTAAATGATGGGGCGGAGGTAAAATGTGACTGGCCTTTGGCCATGGTCACATAACTAGTAACAAAAAGGCTGGGCCATTATTTAAACTTGGATCTTCCAGTTTCTAAGCTAAGTGAGCCTGTTAGCGTTCTTAATTGACAACTTTAAACTTCTCTCCTGTAACTAGGGACTCCAGATTTATTTAGTTTGCATTGTCTTCATCATCATAATGTGTTATTATTTTGAGTTCAAGATGCATGACTTTACTCAATCCACTTAATACCTGAGAAGTACTATTATTAGCTCTGCTTCGTAGATAGAAAACTAATGCTTTGAGGTTTAGAAAAGTTTCAAAATGACATGTGTTTGTGAGGTTGTTTTTTTGGCTGCCCTTCAAGGTATGTGGGATCTTAGTTTCCCGACCAGGGATTGAACCCGTGCCTCCTGCAGTAGAAGGGTGAAATCAACCACTGGACCTCCAGGGAAGTCCCTAAAATCAGGTTTTTTTCTGGCTCCAAATTCCATGAGGTTATATTGCTATATTGCTTCCCACGTTTTCCAGGGTGTCTCAGTAATAGCTTGACAACCATGTTCAGCGTTTTTGGTTTCCAATGCGCTGACTTGCATTAGAATTTCAAGACAAACGGTGGGTATTTTGATGTGTTTTATCAAAGTTCATAAATTTTTGTAACCCTAGGCATACATGTTAGTATGTTGTTGTTGTTTTGTCATTAAGTCATGTCTGACTCTTTGTGACCCCATGGGCTGTAGCTTGCCAGGCTCCTCTGTCCATGGGATTTCCCAGGCAAGAATACTGGAGTGGGTTGCCATTTCTTTCTCCAGAGGACCTTCCCGACCCAGGGATCGAATCCGGGTCTCCTGCCTTGCATCTGAGCTACCAGGGAAGCCCCATATGTTAGTATGTTTATGTACATAAACAACGTTAATGCAGGTTTTCCATTTGGATTGAAAAGAGTTAAGTATATTCAGGATAAAGTATGTGTATCATCATAGTATATGTCAAAGTATTTCAGTAATTACTTTTTAAAATAATTAATGTTTGGCTGTGCTGGGTCTTCACTGCTGCGCACGACTTTATCTACCTAGTTGTGGCATGCAGGGCTACTCTCTAGCTGTGGTGCATGGGCTTCCCTTTGTGGTGGCTTCTCTTGTTGCAGGCATGGGCTCAAGCTGTGGGCTTCAGTAGTTGCAGTGCATGGGCTCAATAATTGCAGCACATGAGTTTAGTTGCCCCATGGCTTGTGGGATCTTTCTGGAACAGGGATGGAATTCATGTCTCCTGCATTGGCTGGTGAATTCTTAACCATTGGACCATCAGGAAAGTCCTCAATAGTTACTTTTGAAACAAGTAATTTATTAAAATGCACATCAGGGAGATTCCATTTGTCATCCCATCCTCCCAGCAAGAGGAATAGTGCTATAAACTTGAGATGTCAGTGGTGAGGAAAATCCCCCAAACAAAAAAATGTCTCCCTTTTATATGATTATCCCAGAAGTCCTGCCTTTTCTCTAGAGAGGTGGCTCTAAGGATACAAATGGCACTGTCTGAAGATCTGTACTTTCTCGGCTAAGGAAGAAAGGGAAGGCTTTGGCCTGATGGTAGGTGCAGGAGATCCAGGTGGATTTACTGGGAGTCTATAATGTGCCCCGGCTGTGCCAGGCATATAAGTCTATATGGTGGTCATCCCATCCTTGCCATCGCACTGAGGCAAGATTCTTTTAATTTTGCCATTGAGCTAAGTGAGGCTCTGAGAAGCCAAGCAGCTTGCCTAGAGTCACGGGACTGGCGTGGGGTGGAGTTGGGATTCGAAATGTTTCCTGGTTCCAAGTCCACTACATAGCAGTCATGGGATTCTCAGTAACTTCATTTGAATTCCAAATACAAACTAGCAAAACTTCTTTTTTAAACAAATGATCTTTTCAAGTAAAGCCTCAGACTCAACCACAAAAATACTTACTGCCTCAGAAAGAGTCTGTTGTGAATCTGATAATTATGGATTTCACCTATTTCCTGGTTCCTGAAGGAGGAAGCTAACGAAAGCTATGGGTTGCTTGCAGGGTGCAGTCTGTAATCATTACCTTGAAACAGATGGCCAATTATGCAAAAAAATCTCTTACAGCTGATATCATTTTTCTAAACAGCTAAACGAGCAATTCAGTAAAGAGAAAAAAGAAAATCTCATCTAAAAGAACAGTTAACTCATAAATACTGGGACACTCTTACAAAAAGTTTAACACCATCTTTTAAAATATTCAGGATTCATTTGAGTTGGTCACTACACTCTTGAGCTGTGGTCATAAAACTTGTTGAAAGGCATTTTGAATATCTGAACCACTGTAATTGTTTGACAAACAGTTTGTGTCTTGATGTGTTTTCTTAATTCTGTTAGGTGGAAAGATTGTAGGAAAAGAGTGAATTTGAAAGATATTAAGAAATAAATTTTGTTAGATACTTTACATATCCAGAAACTGAAACTGCTAAAGATTTCTGAAATGATTAACTTTGATTTAGTTATATTAGCTTCTGTGTGATGTATGTGTTGTCACTCAATCATGTCTAACTCTTTGTGACCCCATGGACTGTAGCCTATGAGGCTCCTCCATCCATGGGATTTTCCAGGCAAGAGTACTGGAGTGAGTTGCCATTTCCTTCTCCAGTGTGATGTATAATACTAAGTAATTTGTTGATTGAATGGGTCAAGCAAATACGGCCCCTTCTCTCTCAATACTTAAAGCAGTCAAATACATCAATGTACTTGGGAAGCAGAAAAGGCAAAAATTGTGATTTTTAATTTCAAGCTGTATATTCAACATGCTATCATGCTATTTGTCTTAAAAAATGAAACAAACTTTTTCTTGTCACCTGCTCCCATCCCTCACACTATTACCCCATTTGTCCTTTATAGCAAAACTCAAAAGTTGCTATCTCCAGTGAGATAACATTTTATATCTCATTCTCTGTTCAAGACTGATAGATCCTCATCTGACTTAGAGCAAAAGTCAACATCCAGTGATGGTTACAGGCCCTGGGGTCACTCTGTCGTCACTGTTCTTTATGCTCCAGCCAGTGTGGCCTCCTGGATAGTCCTTGAACTCTAGAGCCTTAGGGCTTTTGCATCTTTCCCAGAATCTATCCCTCCTTAGCAGAATGCTCTTCTTTTTTTGTTTTTTTTTTTTGGCCAGACACCACCCAGTTTGAGGGATCCTAGCTCCTTGACCAGGGATCAAACCTGTACCCTCAGCAGTGAAAGCTCAGGGTCCTAACCAGTGGACCACCAGATAATTCCCAGAATGCTCTTCCCTAGGTTGGCTCTACCACCGCCTTCTCACTGAGACTGGTACTCATTGTTCCGTTTAAAATTACAGCACCCCTAAAAAAAAGGGAACAAAATCCCTAAATTATCGCACCTCCTGTTCCCTTCAGCACTTAATTTCCTCCATTAATACTAGCATCCTA